CGGGACGTCCTATTAGGGCTATAATAACAAAAATGGTAACAATAAAAGGGCTTTATTTAACAACTTTTATCCTGAAAAGACTAGATAGAGTTAAACTTTTTCAGTTTACAAAAAAAAAACAGGAATTAATTTTATTTAACACACAGTGCTGGTAAGATGAAACCTTGGGTCCCGCTTATAGCTTGTGTTGACATAACTGAGTTTTATAATTTTGTCAAAATTAGGTTTGTTCCAACTTTCCGCCATTGAGGTCTTTTCTTTCCGCCAGCGCTACCGCCAATACATATCACTTCTCACCTCAACATAAAACACTCACTTCACTTTATAACCAGTTTACCACCAAAAAATAACAACACTATATAACTTTTTCTTCTTCGTTAATCTATCTCACTTATATAAGTTAATTATTTAGTCGAAAATTGTAGCTGTTGTTCATTTGAAATTAAATGATAGGTTAGGTTTTCTATACGTCTCCTTCTCTTGCAAAAACAGAACGTTGAATTTCAAGTTATCGATTCAAAGACCAACGATTTCAGTACATAAGAAGTCCCATAGAGGTGTCTTAAACGTCTTGGACTTGGACCGAAAACGGAACGTTTTGTCGAAACAGGACCTAAGTAGGACGTCCAGAGAATGTCCTTCGAAGGACGTCTTAGTGTTCACGCTAATCGAAAGTCCAGTGGACGTCCGATTTAGATGCCGGACCAACAAGGTATCAAATCAGGACGTCTATGGAACGTCCTATGCTATCTGGGATTTGACGAAAGCGTGTGCCGTGGAAATAGCCTCAATGAAGTAGTTAAATTGTTGAACCCAAAATAATAGCAATAAGAGGAAAGTAGATGTAGATACCCTTACTATTAAGACGTACTTTGTATTTATATTAATATAAACATAATGTATGTTATGTAGGAATAATTAAGAAAGTCGCTGCAAACGCCTGTTATAGCTGAACCTGAGAATAACATATTCTCGGGTTGAATTACCTATTTAAAAATGTATTCTTACCAGTTAGGTTGGTTCATGGTTCCTTAATTCTATCATAATTTGTTGTTTTATCCGCAGTGTAATTAGGAAAGTAAGTATAAAAGTAATTAATAATTCCATTTTTCATGTAATTGTAATTATATCAATATAATTTTTATTTTTACAACATGTACTTTGTACTTGTAATTAATTCCTTTTTTGAAAAAGTACTTTGTAATTGTAATTATTTTTTAAGTACATGTTATTACCCAGCTCTGATACCAAATGAACATATTAATAAAAAGTGGTTAAAAAGTTATTAAAATAGTGACATGAGTGAGATATTAAATAAAAAAATTTAAGATTAAGTAATATAATAGCAGTTATGAAAAAAGTGTGCACAGTTGAATGATCCAAATAAAGATTAAGTAAATTTTAAATGAGTAATATGGTAACCATTAACTTCGGTAAAAGTAAAATGAATTAAACATTGAAGTAGTAGTAAATTTGTTAATGTGGCTGAAACCATAAATCCTGAAAAATGAACACCAGGATAAACATAGAACTAAAGCAGTACACTATAATGAGTGAAAAGCCCAGTAGCCACGCTTTCAGAAGGTTCCGCGCGGCAGATGACCAAATTCAGAAGGTAACCACCAAAAACTCGGTGCTGAGTTAGGCCGTCCCTTATCAATTGAGGACCTGGATGTCTATTCTCGAGATCACATGATGTGATAGATCTCTAGAAGAAGTGATCATTCACATACCCGGTTTTGGTCACCGGTGAATCAAAGCCTTTTTTCTTAAAAATAAGAAACACGGGGAAATTAGTGTCCATTGTTGTCACGATCTATAACATACATTTGACCTATTTCTTTGATGAAATTCTGACTTTTTGCTATCAGCTGTCAATAATCTGAATGTATAATAATTTTTAAAATTGTAAAGCCGAGTCGGAAATTTTAAATTTTATTTACAATAATAATAGATACAACACACCAAAAACAAAATTTAGTGTAAACGAGATTCAAAAAAAAAAGCAATTCCAATCCAATTTATACAGAACCGTCTAAATTTAAATGCTGAGAAATTTTCGCATGAAGGAAAAACAATTATGACAGGACATATCGTTAATATTAAATTTTCATTATCATCATCACCATCATTGCGAATAATGTCTTTGTGTTATTTTTTAACTATAAAATTACAAATGTCTCTAAATTTAAAGGTTCATTTACTCCATACTAACGTCTAACATCGTTTCAATCTATCAATATGAGCATGCACGTAAAAGGTTTTCAAGCGATGGGAACCGCTTCTCTTACTTTAAAGCAAGCGACCGATATACGCTTGATTTTTAAGAGAATTGATCATTTCAAGAATGGTTGAAAAGTTGGAAAGGGTATAATAAGTTTCTGCAGGACATGATCCACACAGCGTTCCAGAGAGACTTATTATAATGGTTTGGGGGAACTATTGTAGCTTCGAATTTTTAGAGTAGAGGAAGGGCAATGTCTCTAGATCCATACTATGCCAGAGAACTTGAAGGTGATAGACGTGACTAGACCATGATCCATACATGGCTATTAGTTGAAAGTGAAGGGTAAATTAGAAAAAAGATAAGAATAGAGAGAGAATTTTGCCGAAAAGTGAAAGGGGTATAGAAAAGACTAATTACTACCTAGATCCATACTAGGCAGTCACAAAGATAGTACAAAGACACACAGCTGTGTAATGGGTTACCTATTCTATAACCGAGTAACCACGGTGAATAGGAATAAGTGTAGTCCAGGTTAGGGTCAGACTCCAAAACCAATAGCGGGTCCTCCTGATTAGTTACCTAGTGAATTTAACAATTATGAAATTTAGAAATAACTGAAAAGTGAATTAATTACAATTTAAATTCCCAGAGGGCTTTAAATAATGGATTATAATTACAATTCAGGTGAATTTGAGTGTTTAAACAATGATCGGGATTCAAGTTCATTTCACGAAGGATCTTCAAATCTTCCAGAAGGTCCATCTTCCTAAAGTTATTGACTGGAACACTATGTAAAATTTTGGCTGTTTGGTGTAGGAGAGAAGCTATGATTATTAAATTTAATGTGATGTCCAAAATTAGATTTTTCAGGTCTCGATAAGTGTTCCTTGATACGTGTCTCTAGAGGCCTGATGGTTCTATCTATATAAGTAGCTTCGCAGCTATTGCAATGTAATTTGTAAATGCCACTTCTCGACTTCTCTAAAATATTAAATCCATTAATAATCATAAACCCCTAACTTATTAACATATTTAAATTGTAATTAATTCACTTTTCAGTCATTTCTAAATTTTATAATTGTTAAATTCACTAGGTAACTAATCAGGAGGACCCGCTATTGGTTTTGGAGTCTGACCCTAACCTGGACTACACACTTATTCCTATTCACCGTGATTACTCGGTTATAGAATAGGTAACCCAGCACACAGCTGTGTCGTAAAAGGCGGAAAACTTGTCTTTGTGCTATCTTTGTTACTGCCTAGTATGGATCTAGTTAGTAATTTGTCTTTTCTATACCCCTTTCACTTTTCGGCAAAATTATTTTTCTATTTTTTTTTTTTTCTAATTTACCCTTCACTCTTCGACTAATAGCCATGTATGGATCATGGTCTAGTCACGTCTATCACCTTCAAGTTTTCTGGCCTAGTATGAATCTAGAGTCATTGCACTTCCTCTACTCTAAAAATTCGAAGCTACAATAGTTCCCCGAAACCATTATAATAAGTCTCTCTGGACCGCTGTGTGGATCATGTCCTGCAGAAACTTATTATACCCTTTTTAACTTTTCAACCATTGTATCATTTTTGAATAAGTATAGATCACATGGATCGGTTAACTCCAGAACCAATGTCGAACACTCCCTCCTTACGCCTATGTCATGTGTCAGTCTGTCTATGTGTCATTTGTTCAGTCTAATAGGTACGATGTACCGTTAAAATTTAATTTTTTTTTAACTGATAATGTATTTGTAAAATACGAAATATAAGGGTGTGTTTTGCTAATTTTCAACACCCCCCTTTTCAAAAATGTATTCAATGTTTTAACCCATGTATTTTTATTCAATTTTAACTCTGGATAGATATCTATTGACGTAAGGCAATTCTTTCACCCTTACTTCTCGTAATAAATTTTAAACTTTGTAGGACGGCCTGAAGATAACAATGTTTTGTCGAAAGCGCCAGCCAAATTGTATTAAACATCTATATATACACACTTGAGTACTCAATTCCTCAATTCAACCCAATCATTCATATTATTCAGCCATTGGATGTTGCATTTTTAGACCATTAAAAATGTCTTGGAAGAAAGTAGTACATAAATGGCGGATTGAAAATAATGGTGCTAAAATTGATAGAGAAAATTTGCGAAACTTCTAGAAGAATCCTTACATAACATGGAAAATAAATCTTCGATAATTTCAAATGGCTTCAGAGCTACTGGGTTGTTTCCATTTGAAGTTTCAAACATCGATTTTAAGAAATATTTCAAACTTGATTTGGTAACACCTAGTGATAATATAAAGTATACATGTGAAGATTTGAATATTATCAATATCGTTCTAAAAAGAATTCAAGATGACATTCCTGAAAAAATTAAATTGTTTCAAAATAGTGGTAATATTTGGAATGGTGGCATTGAAGACGTAAGTTTATTTCAGTACTGGAGTCATCTAATGCAGAAGAAAAGTGATTTAGAGCAAAGACAAAAGTCCTTTCAAAATTAACTGAATCATAGAGAAATTAATCAAAATTACTCTAATACTAGTAAAACCCATTCACTAGAGTGAATGAGCACATCTCTAGATGTGCTCATCTAGCGTAGACCACATCATCGCTGAAGTGCTGGAGCAAAATCAAGACCTATCTAACATTGAGGGAATTATTTTAGAAGATGATAGCATAGTTATTTCCTTTGATGAAAATGATTTTGCTAACTCTTCAGAAATAGGTGACAGCCCAACTGATCCAATCGTATTACAAATACCCCCTAATAATGACAATACCACCAATGGTGGTGCAACAGGTTACACAAACTGAAGAACTGCAACAAAGTACTACAGTAAAAGAAGATCAAGGCCATGTAGATTTATTAACAGAAAACGAGATGGTAAACAATAAAGAAAACGAAAACAATAAAGAAATCGAACTTGCAAAATTGTCCGATACAACGCCTCCATTGTCTTCAATTGAAAATATGCCAAAAACTCCTTCCATAAAAGTACACAATGAAGACAATATTTTAGAGTTATTGCCGACACCTTTTAAAAAGGCGCTCTTTTGGCCTGCGCCAAAAAAGAATGTAGGAAACACAAAGAGAAAAATTAGAGAAAAAATTCCAGCAGTAGCATCTTCATCACAGTGGCAAGAATATGATAAAAATAAAGAAGCCGTTAAAAATAAACAGGAAGAAGAAAAAAACATTAAGAAAGAAGAACGCATAAGAAAGAAAAGTGAGAAAATAAAATAAGATTTAGCAAAACAGCCAAAACAGCCTGAATGATTGCTAGAAAGCGAGTCAGAAGAAGCCGCGAATACATCCTCTTCTTCAGAAAGCGAATCAGAAGAGAAAACAAATACAGCCTTTTCCAGTGGGGATTATTGTATTATAAAGTACGATAGTAAGTATTTTGCGGGAAGAGTGTTGGAGATCAAGATGGAAGAGAATGAAAGATAATATAAAATTAATACAATGACTCAAAGTGGTGCTAACTGGAAATGGCCTCAACCAATGGATGTATTATGGTATCAAAATGATGATATCATAAAAAAGATAACTGAACCAAAGATTATAAATAAAAGGGACGTATACAGTGTGAAGGAAATGAAAATTTAAATATGTTTGTTTAAGGAGGTCCTTTCGTCACCCCTTTCGCCACCAATGTTAAAAAAAAAGTATTAGATTATTACTAAAATTTATTTTTTTTCTAATAGTTGAAGTCCTTATTTATCTAATAGTGAACTTTTAACTATACCTTACCGTGCAAATTTTTGAGAATTTTTTTTAAAATGTGAGTTTTTGTACAGTGTCTTACGAGAAAGTAAGACATCAACAAAAACAATAATTCTCGAATTATACTATTATTTATTGATTAGATGGAGTAGAAAAAAACGAAAAATAAGGTTTTTGAAATATTTAGGTTTTGTTTTTTACAATAAAATATATAGGTTACCGTGGAATTTATTGACAAATTAATATTAAAAAATAACAAAAAATTTTCAACTAGGTTACTTGAATTTTTTTTTAATATTAATTTATCAATAAATTGCACGGTAACCTATATATTTATATAGGTTACCGTAATTCAAGTAACCTAGATGAAAATTTTTTGTTATGTTTTAATATTAAATTGTCAATAAATTCCACGGTAACCTATATATTTTATTGTAAAAAACAAAACCTAAATATTTCAAAAACCTTATTTTTAGTTTTTTTTTACTCTGTCTAATCAATAAATAATAGTATACTTAATTATAATTCGAAAATTGTTGTTGAAGTCTTACTTTCTCGTAAGACACTACAAATATTCACATTTTTAAAAAAAAATTCTCAAAAATTTGCACGGTAAGGTATAGTTAAAAGTTCACTATTAGATAAATAAGGACTTCAACTATTAGAAAAAAATTAATTTTAGTCATAATCTAATATTGTATATTTAACATTGGTGGCGAAAGGACCTCCTTAGTAAATATTTTTAAATTAATATACATACAATATGCAACATTTATATTATTGTTTTCTTTTTCAAAATAAAATGTTTATAAATGACTCCATAATTTTTATTACATTACATGGTGTATCCATTGGTTACTAATTGAGTAAAGTATATTTTTTACTGGTCAATAATTGGTTTCTAGTGCTTTCCTATGATTCATATTTTTTTTTAAATTTTAAATTTAATATTTGCTCAATTTTATTTTGTCTTTTTAAAAGTAGAAATTATGAGCTATTTGAAATGTGATGTTTTATAATATTACGTTTTCTAGGTAAAAATCTATAAGGTAAAATGTTTACAATGCTTACTTATCGGGTCATTAATAGGACGCTTTACCTTAATAGTTCTTCTAGATTTTCAAATAAATACCTATATTAAGCTTCAAAGTATTGATACCGTGGTCAAAGTATTAATGAAAAAAAAGTTTTTGAAAGATAATTTTAAAAAATTACAAGACATTACCAATTTTCAATTTTTAAAAAATATTTCTTTTAAATGTAGAATTTAATTTATAAGTGTGTACAGTGAAAAAAGTATTTATATCATTTTTGTACACATTATTGTCTTGAAATACAATATATCCGTTATTATAAAAGATATGTAACGAACTTCACTTTTTATTGTTTATTTATTTGTATTTTGTGTGAATTTTGTTTTATATTATATCCTCGTCAATCCCGAGTGTCACAAATGTTGCCAATTTAAGAATTTCTGGCACAGTTCTGTATAGTAGAACTCTACTAAGCATTTTACAGCGATAGTTCAACTTTTCACAACTAAGATGTAGCTAGCAGATTTTGTGCACAAATGTGCTCACTGGGACTGTAAGCGTAATATCGTTAGAAAATTTTGTACATAAAAATGTTCCTACCGGGATTGTACATCATGTTTTAGAAAATAGGGTTTTATTAAAAAAACGTTTTAAAAAGGGGTATTTTTAATTTTTGTCAAAGTAACATTTTATTAAAAAAGAAAACAGAAAAAACAGTGTTTTTAATCCTAATTGGTATAAAAAAAGTTTTTTAAATCATTAATTTTAAGAATGAAATTCCTTGAAACAATTTCTTTCCTTTGATAGACAAAGGAAAGCTTTACATGAAATACATGCAACACGGGATCTATGCTTGCATCCCGGATTTCTGCATCGTGGAGCAGAAGAGGCTTCCACTACTTCCGGTAAATGCAATGCCTTAAACTTTCTGTGTTCCCCGGGGGGTATTGGAACTCTGGGTGGCATCCCCTTGGCTTTTTTTAAAGGCGGAGGCAGTTGATCCTCCATTTCTTCACTTTCATCTGCGTTACTAACAGATCCCTTGATTAGGCATTCCGCAATTTTCAGCTTAAATGCAAGAAGATCCATTATCTCATTTATTCGTACATTTATTGATAATTGGTTTTTTCTATAGAGAATCCAACAATTTACAATTGTCATGTCCATGAAGTGCTCAAAAAGTGTGACTGTCCATTTTTTTGTTCTATGATAAGAACGATAATATGCAATAAGCCTACCTATTTAGTAAATCAACTCCTCCCATGTTGGCATTATACTCTTTTATCATTTCAGAAAGGGGAACATCTATGTAGGCCCGGTCGGGTTTGGAATACCGTTTTACTGTTCCAGTAATTTTTGGATCATGTTTCGTTGATGCCAAGATTACAGAACGATTATTCATCCATTTAATAATGATGATCTTTTTATTCTCTCCAACCTTATAGTCTCAATAGTACCGCGACCAGTAGCTTTCATTGTTTTATCATCTTTCAAGCCTATCTTTGGAAATCGATTTGACATAATAGTTCCTGTTCCAGAAATTTCTTTTTTCATCAATATTTCTAGTAAGACGGTTCCTGTGAAATAACGATCAAAGTATAGATTTGAGCCGGGTGGTAAGTCTCCGTCAAACGTAGAATTGCTCGACCTCCGCCGCCTAGCTTACTGGTTCCTTCTACTTCCATTGGGAGTCTAGTTGTCGCTCCTTGAAAAACTTCTAAATCTAAAACCTGGCCAGAAGCACCTGCTAACACGTATATTTTGATGCCGGTTGGATTAGGCTTTCGGGGTACATACTGGCGAATGGCAGTGGCCCCAGAAAATGGTACCATTTGCTCGTCGATGCACGAATTTTCCTCGCGTAGTAAGGTCAATACCACCCTACGAAAATACTTAATCAGCGGTCTGATTTTCCAGATTCTATCAGCTTGACGCTGCTCTTCTGTCGTTTTAAGGTTGTTTACTAAATGAAGATAATTTCTCAGAGTAAAAAAACGATCTCGATTCATGTTATCAGCAATAATAGGTACTCTGAATGACCCCTGCCAGTACATAGCGATACGCGGGTAGCCCAACGCGCTCATTATCATAGTAATTTCCACAAAAGCTTTCATCTGTTTAGAATCTGTCTTTAGAAGCTGTCCACGTTGTTGTAAATAGTAAATGTTGGTTTGGGAGGGCAGCAGTACATAAAAATCGTCGCCATAATACTTTGAAAAATAATCAATTGGCAACCAATTCTGCCGCTGACCCACATCATAATCCACTGATGGATAATCTTGGAAATCTGGTACAAGTTTCCCTTTGCCCAATTTTGCATCTTCTTTGGTATCTGCTTTTTCTTTCTAGCCTTTACATTCTTACTATCTTTAGAACTAATTTTACCACGTTCTCTGGTAGTAGTTTCAGACTCATCTTCTTTTTCGCTTTCTACCACCTGACTTTCCTCCTCACCGTCATTAGTTGTTTTCTGCATGATCTCTTCATCACTATCCATACCTTGACCATCTTCATCATTTCTGTGTTCGCCTTCTTCGTCACTACTCTCCAAGTCTCCATAATTTGGTTCATAATGTCGATCAATGACCGAGTCATCATCATCATCATCAAAAGGATCTAATTCATTAATATCGCTATTGTCTAGGTTGTGCACCTTCATCTAGTATTTCCGCTTCAGTTAATGGTTGATTTCTCGCTGAAAATAGGTAAGTCATTTTTAATTGCATTGAGGTAAGCAACTATGTCTTTGAATCCGAAAAGGCACACATGTGTACACTATTTTTAATTCTATTTATGTTATTAAATCCCAGTGTACACAAATGTGCATAAACAAATTTTCACCCCACTTTTTGGTTAGTCGGCAACAAAAATTAATAGCTACCCTACAGGATGTCAAGTTTGAACATCTGACTAGAGTTTAGAGTTGTTGTGGATACGAAAATAACATTGTCATTTTAATAATCTTTCAAACTTACCGTATTTGCGCATCTGATTGGAACTACCACCTGCACTTGTTGACGCCATTGTAACTAACTGACATATGAGTGAAGCGGGAGAATTCAAATTAAGTATCGGGCTTGCCAATACTATAAGTAAGCACTGTTTGATAAGAAAAAAAAACTATTTTTCAAAATTAGTACCAAAAAAATTGTTGTTATTTTGTGCACAAACGTGACCACAGGGTCCGACGAGGATATAATAAAATAATTTTAATTTCCTAATAACTGTTTTATTTTAACAAAATTAGGAAATACCATTCCATATATTTCGTTAAGATATAAGATACATTTGGCAACAACGTTTAGATTTTAAGGTATTATAAGTACTTATACTAATTACGTATTAAAATCATCCGGGAGACAATTCGACCGTCACCTTTTTGAGAGTCAGGTAATATTTTAATTTTGGGAGACAATTCGACTCCGCCGGTTCTATACGTTTTGTTGTAAAAAATAGCTGTAGGTAAAACACTTAGATAAAAGA